CCTTGGTGGCCCTGGGTGGAGGAAGCCTTGGTGGCCCTGGGTGGAGGTGTAGTTAGTTCTTTAAGCAGTCACAGTATGTGACTTACAGCAATCTTTGTCCCTTGTATATAATGCCCTATGGGCCAGCAAACCACCCATCCCTAGCAGGATGCAGACTTCTCCACTCATGCTGCTGAAAGCAAACCTCTTCAGTCCCAGACACCATCTCTGCCATCTCCATTGAGAAAGGAAAGCAGACAACCCTAGGCCCCAGGCAGCATGTCAGTCTTCACACTGATGCAGGTCTACTGCCCACCTCAGCTCAGAGGTCATGGTGAGGTTCTGGCCTGTGGAGATGGGACCGCAGCCATGCTGAGGTTACCTGCATCCTTGTTCTCTTCCTTTCCAACCTTTGAGTCTTCGTAGGCCTATAGTGATAGATACAGATACAGATGCTATAGGTAGGTAGAGACAATATGTTATGATAGGATAGTTAAATATCAATAATTCTCTACTATAATCATTTAGATATGGTAGACTTATAATCATCAAATAATAAGAGATTTACCTTAATTTTTTGTGGCAAGGTTTCCAACTGAGCCTGAATCCACAGACTCGTCCTCTGTCCCCGAGCGAGCCCAAATTTATGAACTCTTTTCTTTAATTATTATTGTTATACATACACCTCTGGGGTGTGTGTGTGTGTGTGTGTGTGTGTGTGTGTGTGTGTGTGCGCGCAGCCTGATGAGTCCATTATGCATTACTAACCAAAAGCTATTTCCCTAACCCCTATTAATGAGTTTTAAACCAAAAGTTCGGAAGCATTTCCATAAGCTTACAGAAGTCCTAGGTTTCCTTCCCAATACCAAAAAGAAAGAAAGAGAGAGAAAAGAAGGAGCGAAGGATGGGAGGAAGAGAGAAAGAAAGGAGAACAGGGAGGAAGGAAGAAAAAAATAGAGAAGGCAGGGAGGGAGAGAGAAACAGAGAATAAGGGATTTTCAGGCTCATCTTTCGCTAGTCAGCATTTTTTCTCTTAAAAACTATTTAGGATTAAATCTAAAGGGCTTTATACTTCCATGTCCCTAAGGCAAGTGACAGCCTGTCTGAGGTATTAGAAATTTTGAGACGACTCCAGAGCTCTCTCTGGGAATCGGGATCGTGAATCTGAGAGGTGTTGACAAAGCCCCATAGGAAACTCGGCCTGAGGTTAATAGAATAGGTATTTAAGACCAGAGCCTGTTCCACGCAGCTCGCACCTTCTGACCCTGAGCCAAACAAGCGCCAAGCTTAGAAAACTCCCTGAATGGCCAATTAAATTCACTTTTAATGAGCAAACAAAACACATGGATAATGAAAGCTAATTTAAAAATTAGCTAGGTTTAAAAAAAAGGACAGCAGTAAAAAGAAGCTAGTGGGATTCCAATGCAAAGTCCCACTTATGAAAGGCAAGTTCAAATCTCATGATAATCAGGACTTTTATTTTACACTTGGTTGTATGAGGAGCTCAATGTGAATTGAACATGTCAGCCCCGGTTGCCGTAACACAATGGACCCAGACTGATTGGGCGACATTTCCCTTTCATTGTCCCTTAACTGCTTGGCATAGTGTCAGAGACAGTATTTAAGTGAACACAGATCAGTCCTTACCCTCTCCCCCACCCCAGCAAGCCCTACTTATTGCACACTGAAATATGGATGCGTCTCACTTAGCAGACATTTATATCTTACCAAGTTAGACATCCAAGCTCAAGAGTCATCAGGGTCAGCCTTGGTGCTGGCCTTCTTCATAGGAGGCATATAGGCACCTTGCTGTATCTAAGAGAAGAGGTGGGTCAAAAAAATACTCTGTATCTCTTATTTTTAAGGACAATAATCCTATGAGATTTGGGCTCCGCCCCTGCGACCTCATTTAACCTTCATCACTTCCATAAAGTTCCTCTGCACATTCACACTGGAGTCAGGACTTCACTATATGAGTTTTGAGGGGTCTGTCACTTAATCTATACTGAAGCATCAGGACCAACAGAGCTTTCTGGGAAAAAAAGAAAAATGAGGAAGAGCCTTGTTTTTCCCATCATCAGAGATTCAGTCACCGTCAAATTGAGCCTACCGGTCAGACAAGTCCCCAGAATTAGTTGCAATCCAACACATGTGTGTGCTTCATAGCCAGCCTTCCCATTGTACCTTCCAAATGCCGAGTTTCCGCTCAGCATCAGGAGAACTTCAGGTCACTAGGATAGGTGAGGTAGGGGCTGGCCAGCAAAACCAGAAGTAACCTTGAGAGGAAAGTGGGGAGGGCTAGTTGCCAAGATAAGAAAGACTGGGTAAGAGGAAGCCATTACTTTAGTAGGGAAAGGAAGTAGAGCCTGTATAACAGACACCCACATCTCATCAAAAAGAGCAAACTATTGATACCTCATGCAAGCTGCGTGGATCCCAAAGGCAGAAAGTTAATCAACGCCATGTCCTTAAAGTGATGGAATCACGTTCAGTCAGGGGAGGGAGCAAGTATCGGGGCAGTTGTATGGCTGTGACTAATTTAAGATAGCAAGAGAGAGAAAGAACTTGCCATCATTTCAAACAATAAAATACTTAAAAACAGCCAGGTAACATGGTACACACTTGAAATCCCAGAGCTGGGATGGTGAAAATAAGCCGTGGGGTTTCCTGGCCAGCCAGGTCAAGTGAGAGGTCAGGTCTCAAAAACCAAGGTAAACAGGTTGGAGAGATGCTCAGGGGTTAAGAGGACCTGCTGCTCTTGCAGAGGACCTGAGGTTCAGTTTCCAGCACCCACGTGGCAACCCACAACTGTCCTAAGCTCCAGTTCCAGGGACCTGACCCTCTCTTCTGACCTCCACAGGCACCAGGCAGGCACACACGCAGCACACAGACAGACATGCAGACCAAACCCCAAATCTATAAAATAAAAATTAATGATAAAAATGTTTTCTAAGAGAAATAAAGCCAGGAGGAGACACCTGAAGAACAGCCAAGGCTCCACTGGTCTTCACATAGGTGCACACACCTACCTGGTCACCCACGCTCAGAAAAATTAAAAGCAGAAGCAGGGTTGAGGTGGCTCAGCAGGTAGAGGCACACACCCCGTAGCCTGATGACCTGGGACTGATCACCAGGGAATCACATGGGAGGAGAGAATCAACTCTCACACACAAATAAATAGATAGAGGTAATAAATTTAAAATAAAGTAAAAGTAAGACTAAATGCCATGTAAATACCAAAACATATGATATACATTTCTGCAGATTATCAGCGGCAGAAGAAAAGTGTGTTATGAAAACAGGCAAAAATGTGTTGAGCAGATCAAAACTTAAGACAATTAAGGATAAAAACAGAGAAAGGCTTCAGGCAAAAGAGACTTTAAAGCCACTTGGACACCTTTGTGATTCCTGACATGGATTTAAAAAAAAAAAATGCCTGTCCTTCCTCTTGCACACAGTGCAGCAATTCGGCTGATGAATATTAATTTCCATTACACAATTTGCTGCCAGTGTGGCTGATTTGCAGCTTATCTTCCCTCCTGGATCACTTTAAAGCCTCCAGCAGCCTTCACAGCCTTAGGTTCCCCCTGTTGCAAAAATCCAAAGAAAACACTATTTCTCTGAATTTCCCTGCGGGGACTTTCCCATGAGATAAAACCAAGAAGTCTGGGGTTTTTCAGGAAGGCTGGTCAAGGCAATGCTGTGTGGCACCCCCGAGAGCAGTGGGACCAGACTGTCCCCTTGAGTTCTCATCGGACCCGGGCACATGTAGCCCACCAAACAACTCCGTGTCGCGAGAGGCCATGGCCATGCCAAGAGCTACAGCTGGGATGCTGCTGTGCAGTTGCCTAGTGACAAAATAAAACGCAAGCACCCTTTCTCCCCCGTTCATTTATCCAGGATGTCCAGTCACTGTGTTTGGAAATGGTGGGAAAGTGATGATCTTAAACAGAGATCCATCCCCCCTTTCCCGAGGAGCGACCCAGGAGGGAGGGTGGGATCCAGGTACAACCCAGCACAGCTGCTGGTGGCTATGAGCTGCTTCCTACCCAGGCTGTCAAATAAATTTAAACAAACTCCAACAATATCCCAGCCTTTTATGTAAGAGTGGGCTGTTTCCTGTAAATATAGAAAGCTTTCACTGGCAAAAGCAGA